GAAGACAGCAGTAACTCGTACTTCGTGGTGGCGGTGGTGAGGCGGGACAGCTCCCACGCCTTCACCCTGGATGAGCTTCGGGGCAAGCGCTCCTGCCACGCTGGCTTCGGCAGCCCTGCAGGCTGGGATATCCCCGTGGGCGCCCTCATTCGGAGAGGCTTCATCCGGCCCAAGGACTGCGACGTCCTCACAGGTAACCCCCTTTTAGGAAGGCAGACTAGGGAAGCCTTCTCTGGGGTTAGCTAGGGACCCACAGCCAGTTCTGGAGGGAACCCTTGTTGGAAGGTGGCTAGGCTTCTGCATAAGTGCCCAGGTATCTCCACAAGTTGGGGACAGAAGCACCTGCCATATGCGGTACATGAAGCCCTTTCCGTGTGTTAGATCACACAACATTCATGGAAACTGGCAAGATCCTTGAGCTGACAGGCCACACACCTCTGTCCTGGCTGTTAACTCAGAAAACATACAAGCACTTTTTTACTAACCACTGACACAAGCACACGGAGGGCACTAGGATTGGCAGCTCCTACTCCCAGACAGCTGGACGGCGGCTCTGATTGGAACAAAATAGTGAGGTAGTGAGTTCCCTGTCCCTGAGGGAGTTCAAGCGAAGGCTGGGTGGTGATGTTCGGTGATGGGGTTCCTGTATCTAGACAACCTCTGCATTCCCCCCACTGAGATCCTCCAGGAGACACTCCACTCAGAGCCGAGGGGAGCAGAGCAGACAGGCGGCCTTGCAGCGCAGGGTCAGGTGGGTGGGCAGACCTGTGGGGGAGCGGCCCGCCCAGCTCCCTGCCATGCTTTCCACTGCTGGCCCCTCGTCATTGCCCTTCCCTGCACCCCAGCGGTGAGTGAGTTCTTCAATGCCAGCTGCGTGCCCGTGAACAACCCCAAGAGCTACCCTTCCTCGCTGTGCGCGCTGTGTGTTGGGGACGAGCAGGGCCGCAACAAGTGCGTGGGCAACAGCCAGGAGCGGTACTATGGCAACAGTGGCGCCTTCAGGTACTCGGGGGGCCTGGCGGTCTGGGGCTGTGTGCAGAGGCTGGGACCCTCCTGCCGACGCCTGCCCTGCCCTCTGTGTGGCAGATGCCTGGTGGAGAATGCGGGCGACGTTGCCTTCGTCAGGCACACGACCGTCTTTGACAACACAAATGGTAGGTGAGGGCCAGAGCAGGGCCAAAGGTAGGTCGGGGGGACTGTTCCCCATTCTCAGTACCATCCAGACACCATGCTGGGGCCGAGCAGCGGCTCAGTGAGGCTGAGTCTAGAAGGCTGTGTCCCCGGGAAGCTGGGAGCCCCACGGGTCACAGGGTAACACCAGACCTCAGACCACACATCCAAGGGTGCTGGATACACGACGGTCTTCGCTGGTCTGGAATTCAAGTCCCTAATCCACCGAAACAGTAGAAACTCAGTCCCAGTCGGTTTGGAAAGACCCCCCTCCTGGGGGTATTTACGTAGTGCCAAGGTGTGAGGTGGGGTGGCGTGAGCCTCTCCATGGAGTCATGAGTTCAATCAGTATCTGGTCTGTGTTCCTGAGCGGGTCACTGCCTCCCGCAAGGAAATCTCTCTGCAGCCCCCAAGCCACACCGAGGCAGGGCACACCCGACACACCACACAGGGAGTTTTCTTCCTGGAGTCAACTTCCTGGGCTCCACCTGGGGTAAGGAACTCAGGGACGCTCTGCTCTGGGACCCCCGCACATGCATGGTCCTGTCAGCACACGCTTCCCCAGCTTACATCACTTCCCCTCTTCTTGTTCTCCGTGAAGGAATCTGAAGCCTAGAGGCTGTTTTCCTCCAACACCAAAGGCTTGTACTTTCTGCGTTCCCTGACTGCACCCCAGGCTTTGAAACCCCAAATGCTGGGGGCCCAGTCTTTTCCACTCACTCCCAACATGTTTCCTCCTAGAGACTTAGCCCAGAAAGGCACAACTGTGGCCCGGTGGGGAGGGGACTGGACAATGGGAAGTAAGACATGCAGGGAAAAAAAAACCCAAAAACATCAGTATTTCAAAACTTGGATCTTGCCTCCTATGGGGGTCACCAAGGCAGTAGGACCATTTGCCCCAGCAGAGCTAGGGAGGGCTCCAGGCCCTGAACCCTTCCCCTGCACAGCCTCCTACCAAGGACACGTGGAACCCTCCCCCAGAGAGGGGCTGTGTGCTGCTGCCTGAGCTCGGCGGGCCTGCCTGGTCCCAGACCTGTGCACGGTGTGGTCTGGGATAGGGTCCGGGAGGCTGGCAGGTGCTGGAGAGGCCTTGGAAGGTTCACTTGCAGTGAGTCACCCACCTCCCAGGCTGCTCCTTTCCCTTTGTCTTTAGCTCTCCTGGAGGCCCACCTGGATTTCCTGGAAATGGGAGGAGGATGGATACTAAGTGAATGCAGAGACACGAAAATGTGATTCCTGAGAGCAGCATTTTCTCAGGCAGCCCTGGGACTGCGTGCTTTAGAATCACTGGGATGCTGGTTTAACATGCAGATTCCCGAGCCTGATCTGAGACCTCCTGAATGAGATTCTTTGCAAGCAAGGGCCCTTGAAGCTGCCTTTTACATCCACAAGTGATGCTATGCCCTGTTCTATTTGAGAACTTCAGCCTTTAGGGGCAATCACCCACCATCTTCAGGGAGCCACCCCACCCTCAGACTTGAGGATGTAACACATAGATGGGGTTCTCTGCCTAGGAGTGATTAACAGCCTCAGTTTGCTCACCTGTAAAATGGGGACAACAACACCTGCCCTGTGTTACTGTTGTGGGGATCAAGCAACGCTTGTAAAGTGCTTGTCACATAGTAGGTACTCCCTGCTCCCTGCTAATGGCAGCTTCTGCTAATGGCATCAACACAGCTGGGTTCTTTCACCCGGGTAACACAGCAGAGCACTTGGAGAATGGAAAGGGTTGGGGAGCTGGCCAGATGTTGCCACCTCCCTGTAGCGAAGGCCTTGGAGGACCCAGGATAGCAGCCTGTCTTTACACTTCTCCCCACTCCCCTGAACGTCCCCACACACACTGCTTTACCCCCCTCAGGCCACAATTCTGAGCCCTGGGCTGCTGAGCTCAGGTCAGAGGACTATGAACTGCTGTGCCCCAACGGGGCCCGGGCCGAGGTGTCCCAGTTTGCAGCCTGCAACCTGGCACAGATACCACCCCATGCCGTCATGGTCAGGCCAGACACCAACATCTTCACCGTGTATGGACTGCTGGACAAGGCCCAGGTAAGCCAGGGCGGGGCTACCTCATTGAGGGGTGTGCAGCAGAGGTAAGCTGAGCCCCTGGGAGGCCTCAGTCTACCTGGAGCAGACCTCTAGAGAAGTTGAGGAAGCCTGGGGGAAATTCGGTGATTTTCACTTACGCAAGGACATACCTCCAGAAACTACCTCCCTGCCTCCTGCATTGTTGATTTTCCCTTCTCAGTTGGACCATTTTCACCAACATGAAACATGCTGTGATTTCTGCCATCCTTAAAGAACAAACTAACCTCTTGCTCTCACATCCATCCTCTTGCAGCTGTGATCCTGCTCCCTTTCTTTCTTTTTTTTTTTTTTTTTGAGATGGAGTCTTGCTCTGTCACCCAGGCTGCAGTGCAGTGGTGCGATCTCAGCTCACTGCAAGCTCCGCCTTCCGCGTTCACGCCATTCTCCTGCCTCAGCCTCCCGAGTAGCTGAGACTACAGGCACCTGCCACCACGCCCAGCTAATTTTTTTTTTTTTGTATTTTTTTTTTAGTAGAGACAGGGTTTCACCATGTTAGCCAGGCTGGTCTTGATCTCCTGACCTCGTGATCCTCCTGCCTTGGCCTCCCAAAGTGCTGGCGTGAGACACCGCACCCAGCCAATCCTGCTCCCTTTCAAAGCAAAACACTTCCAGAGAGTGGTCTGCTCTGGAGTTAACAAGTCCTCTCCTCTGGCCTCTCTTAAGGATGAAGACTGAGTTAACAAGTCCTCTCCTCTCCTCTCTCTTGAGAATGGAGACTACCTCAGACCGGCTCCCATCAGGGCCCTGAAGCTGTTCTTGTCAATGTCACAGTGACCTATGTTGCTAAACCCAGTAGCCATATCTCAGTCTTCATTTCACTTGACCTCTCAGCGGCACTGGCCACAGCTCTCCCTCCTGCAGGCACCCAGTTCCTCAGCCCTGGCTCTCCGCTCACCTCTCTGGCCACTCCTCAGTCTTCTTTGCTGATTCCTTCTCATCTCCCTGACCTGTTAGCCCTAGGATTCAGTTCTCAGCCCTCTTCCCCGTCTACAGCTGACCCTTGATCTCATCCAATCCCAAGTCATCAAATACCATCTATCTACAGATGGCTTCTGAATTTATATCTTCAGACCTCAGTCCCAAACTTGCATATTTAACTACATACTTGACATTTTGATTTGTGTTTCGAACAGTTATCTCAAACGGATCAGGTCCAAAGTTGGACCCCCATCCCTCCTTCAGTCTTCCCCACTTCAATTAAGAGCAACTTTAGCTTTTCCATTTCCTCGGGAGTCATTTTTGACTCTGGTCTTCCTCTTGTGCTCTATATCCAATCCATCAGCAAATCCCATTGGTTGTGCTTTCAAAATACACCTAGAATTTAAACCCAGGTTGTCTGACAATGGAGCCACTGGTTTCTAACCACTCCCCCTCCCCCAACTTATGCTGAAATTGCTTTCTCCACACCCACCAGCACCACAGAACTCCAGAGCTGGCTGGCTCGCCAGGCCTGTTCCTAAACTTTGACATTGTGAAATTATGCATGTTCCTGTCATCTCCCCCACAGAACCCCTCTATCCCAGGAGTGCCATACTCCGGGTCCTTGGGCTTCCCTAGGGTGTTGCTAAGTTCTCTGAAGTAATGTGGGAGAAGAATCCTGGGTGGATGTGCATTTTTCTGGGGAGAAGGCTGACAGCTTTCATCAGCTCTTCAGGAGGATCTGCGAGTCCCTCAAAAAAGACTGGGAGCCACCTGACTCCTTTGTTCCTCCTTGATCAGTACTTAACACCTGACATAGACATTCATGCATGTTCTCCAGATGTCCTTTATTTATATTTGTATTCACAAGTTCTCATACGACTTCTGGTCTTTTCAGTAGCTCTTTTAGGGCTGTAGCCACAGAACGGTCATTGCAGTGATCCTGAGCAGGGTGGAGGAGTGCAGCAGCCCTGGGCGGGTGGGTCAGTGAAGACACGCCCAGCTCACCTGTTATTCTGTGGCTGGTTGCAGAACACACCTCTCCCTCGAAATTGTTTCAGTTTGTGCGGAGATATCTGTAAACAGAGTGAGAAAGCCTTATGGAAAAGGCCAAGAAATGCTGAGCAGGCCTAGCACGATGCTCAGGAATCGCACCCACACCATCCCTCATTTCTGGGTCTTTCTTTCTGGACATCTCAGGCCTTAGGCCTGCATCCAGGAGCTGGAGCACTGCAGTGCTTGTGAACACTTCTTCCAGTGGCACCTGTGGGCCTAGTGTCCCCACACCCCCTTGGGTGATAGAGGCTGATCAGTTGTCATGCTTATGACTTCCAGTCAGAGTCGTGGGGCCCTGAAATTACTTGTTCTTTGGGTCACTGTTACGTAAAGCAATTTGCAGCAAGCCGCACCTGGGCGGGTGGCCCTGCCTGAGCCCAGGTGAGAAGCCCAAAGCAATCTGCAGCAAGCCGCACCTGGGCGGGTGGCCCTGCCTGAGCCCAGGTGAGAAGCAGGTCTGCTTGCGGTGCTTCCAGGACCTGTTTGGAGACGACCACAATAAGAATGGGTTCAAAATGTTCGACTCCTCCAACTATCATGGCCAAGACCTGCTTTTCAAGGATGCCACCGTCCGGGCGGTGCCTGTCGGGGAGAAAACCACCTACAGCGACTGGCTGGGGCTGGACTACGTGGCGGCGCTGGAAGGGATGCTGTCTCAGCAGTGCTCGGGCGCAGGTAGGACAGGCCCGCCCCGCCGCCTCCCCGGGTGCCGTTCAGACCGCTTTACCCCAGAACCTTGAGGGAGCGGGGCGGGGGTGCTGCGGGTCCGGGGAGGCGGGTGGAGGCCGGTTCACAGCGGTCCGGGTGGGGTGTCCCGGGAGGATTTTGGCCAGGAGACTGCGGGCCAGGAGGGCAGGAGCCCGGCGGGTGACCCAGACGAAGCTGGGTCATGAGTGTAAACGCTCAAAACGCGGCGCGGGGAGGATCTGAGGCCACGGCAGAAACACGCATGTGGTGTCTTGTGGAAGGAATGAGTATGCAAAGGCAGCAGGGAAAGGGGCGTTGCAATCGAGCAGAAAGAGGGAGGCTGGGGCGAGTTCGGTCCCGAAAGATCCCCCCACGCCCACCCCAGAGTCGGTGCCTGAGGCGGCCACCGCGGCCCGGGCTTCGGGGCCTGACCTGCCGCGTTCGTCCCCAGCGGCCCCGGCGCCCGGGGCGCCCCTGCTCCCGCTGCTGCTGCCGGCCCTCGCCGCCCGCCTGCTCCCGCCCGCCCTCTGAGGCCCGGCCGCCCCGCCGGAGCCCGCGCCCTGGGAGACCCGCCGCGCCCCAGGGCTGCCGGAGCTGCGATTCCCGCCCGGGGAGTTTCCGCGGCGGCTTCGCGCTGGAATCCAGAAGGAAGCTCGGGAAGGCCGGGCCCGGCGCGGGCGGGAGCAGGCGCCTCCCCGGGAGCCCCGCCGCCCACGGGCGCCACCTGGCGCTGCCACCTGGCGCTGCTACCTGAGGCGCCGCCCCCGGGCCCGCGCGGCCCTTCCCGCCAACCGCCGCCTCCCGCCACCTGGAGCCGCGCGGGCAGCGCCGGAGGAGGCCGGTTGCCCAGGAAACCGCTGAGCCCGGGCTTCCCGCCGCCCGCCCCGCAGAGCCGCCGAGGGGCCCGCCCGCCTCCTCCGCGCAGCCCTGCGCCCCCGTCCGCGAGGCCCCCTGGGGACGCGGTGGCCACCGAGGCACCTACTTCCGGAGGCTGCAGCCAGGCGCTCCAAGGAGGCCCGGCCCGGGCGCCAAGGGGACCAGCCCGTGGGACAGCGGCCTCTGCTGGCGGGGGAGGGAGGGAGGCCGAACCAGGGCGACGGGGAGAAACCCGCCGGGGACCCCTCGAGGAAGGGACCTTGTCCAGGGTGGGGGCTCCAGTGCCTCCGACCGCCCATGCGCTGGGAGGGAGGCCGGCCCCGGGGACTCTGTGTGCCCCGCCTCGTCCGCCACTGTGGCCGCGCCAGCTCCAGCCCGGGCCAGCCGTCCGCGGATCCCCCTCCTGAGTCTCCTCAGGCTCTCGCCTCCCGTACCCCCATGGATGCCCACCGCCCGCACCCACGCCCGAGCTGCCCCGAGCCGCACCCACGCCCCAGCCGCCCCGAGCCTGAAGGGAGCCGGAGGCGACCAGGCCGCGGGCTCCCGAGCCCCCCTGAAGGGCTGGGCGTGGGGACACGCCGTTCCTCCGGGTTCCGAACGCGGGTGGGGGGTGAGCTCCGGCTCCTCACTCGGCCCTGCACCTGCTGGGCCCGGGACCGCTCACACCGCGTTCCCGCCCCTGCGCGAGGCCGCAGAAAGAGCCCGGCCAGGGCCTCTCAATACTCCATTTTGCCAGTTGTCTGAGAAGCCAAAAAAAGTTTCTAGAACTGCCAGCCCTTAAAAAAAATGAAAAGGAAGAGAAGAAATGGGAGCAGGCAGCCCTCGTCAGCAGACTGGGAGCCGCGTGGGCCCGGAGCTATTTGCATTCCGGTCTGCGGGGGCTCGGGGATGCTGGTGACAGGCCTGGTTCCCGGTGGCTCGCCCCCACCTGTGGGCGTCGGGAAGGATCCCTTCCATCTCTCAGCGGCAGAGGCGGCCCTGGCATCGTCCTGGCTGCAGCCGGGCAATCCCGAGGAGTCCTGGGCACCGTCACCCCGCCGGAGGGGCCACAGGACCCGGGCCTCTGCCACCAAGCTTTGTGCCCTCTTGCTGTAGGGAGCCAGTGATTCTCCTCCGACCTGATGATTGCTTGGTGTTTTTAAAGGGAGATTTGAGGGGTGAGAAGTGCGTTTCTGTGTGGCTGCTCCGGGCCAGTGTGCTGTGGGTCATTGAAGGTGTGGCCTGCGTGGCTGCAGGGAGGTTGGATTGTCAGGTGGCAGTAGGGGAGCCCTGCTATGTCAGTGCGAATGAAAGATGTTGGTTGGTTTCTGAAATAAAGCTAAAGAAGCCTGCACATGCAGAGGCTTGGACTCTGGTAGAAACTTCCCGCTGCCGATTTGTTTTGTTTTGTCCGGGGCTCAAAGGCCTACCTGCTCCACCCAAAATGGCAGATTCCATTCTCCAAGAGCCAGTCAGGGACCACTCTCGCCCTCTAGTCAGTGAGGCTCCAAAATGGCAGATTCCATTCTCCAAGAGCCAGTCAGGGACCACTCTCATCCTCTAGTCAGTGAGGCTCCCAACGCCCTTCTTCCGCCTGGACTGGTTCTCTGGCCCTTGCAGGGCCTGGGCTGTCCTGCCACGTTCCAGCTGCCTCCACCCCATCAGTCTCTGGGGTGTCTGCCCTTCTGGGGGGGGTGCAGATGAGGGCGCAAACTTCTCTGCTGCCCCCTGCCCCACACCTCCAAAATAAGCTGCCCACATCTTTTCTCTGGCAAGCTCACTGCCAACTCACTGGAGGGGGAGGCGTGGGGAGCTGATCTCCAGAGACCCTCCAGTGGGTGCTCTCTGGTATGTACTGAGAGCAGGTGGGCTGGTCTTTGTCAGTGCTCTGCTCTCCCTCTGGAAGGGGAGGTTTTCTCTGTTTCCCTCTCTCGTGGCTTCACTTGGCCCCCACACCATCCCGCCTCACCACTGTGGCCATCTCCCAGAGCCAGGTCTTGCCCACCACTGCACACAGGCCATTTTCCATGAAGTCGGCTCAATGATCACAAAGCCAGTCAATTCCTGGGGACCTGGATGGCCAGAGTTGACCCATCTTGTCTCTGCATCACATGGCCCAGTCTCAGCTGCACTGTCACCCCAGCTCGCCTCATGCTACCACTTCCCCACCCTGAACTTTTGGAAAACGAAAGTTAACCTTTGGGCACCCTAGCTCCTCATCTGAAAAACACAGAGTACGATCACCGGCGTGGTGAGGCGGTGGTGAAGATCGAATCTAAGACGCGAAACACTCAGCACAGTGCTTGGCAGACGGCGGGTGCGGGAAAGATGTTCACGGTCACTATTGCTGTTACTCTAGAACCGGTTTTCTTGTCTTCAATTTCAAATTCTTGGGAGAGATCATCCGATTGGCCCAGTGTGCATCAGGCTTTCAGGTGTCTATCACTGGACCAGTCAGCACAGGCCAGAAGCAGGGTCTGTTCGCTGACACATGGCCACCGAAGCCCCAGAAAAAGGAAATGAAATCCTTGTGAGTCAGGCAGCCATTCCCCAGCACCACCATGGCTACCAGGTCTGTGGTAGGTCTATTGGCCATTGGTCGAGCAAATACTTACTGATACCTACTGTCAGTACCAGGCCGAGACCTAGGCAAGAGGGACTCTAGTCCTCAGTTTTGTGCTTTCAAGCAGTGCTTTTCAGACTTTGATGTGCACATTAATTGCCTGGGGATCTTGTTAAAATGTAGATTCTGGTTCAGAAGGCCTGGTGTGAGGCTGAGAGCCTGCAGTTCTAACCAACTCCTAGTTGGTGCCTGCGCTGGTGGTCCGGGGACCACCCTTTGACACGCAAGCCTTCAGAGGCCTCTGCTGGAGCCCTCCCCTAGGCCACATTCCACCACCCACAGAGGGAGGAATCACAGGGAAAAGGGATGTGTTCACTCAAGGGTCTTTGTTTTTTTGAAACGGAGTCTTGCTCGGTTGCTCAGGCTGGAGTGCAGTGGTACAATCTTGGCTCACTACAACCTCCGCCTTCCGCGTTCAAGTGATTCTCCTGCCTCAGCCTCTCAAGTAGCTGGAACTACAGGTGCCCGCCACCACACATGGCTACTTTTTGTATTTTTAGTAGAAATGGGTTTCACCATGTTGGCCAGGATGGTCTCGAACTCCTGACCTCGTGATCCGCCCACCTCGGCCTCCCAAAGGCCTCCCAAAGGGATTACAGGCATGAGCTACCACACCCAGCCTCAGAGCCCATTTTTCACACCATGTTCCAGATACCCTGAATCCTGGAATTCATACCCCAAACAGCCCTGAGCCAGCTTCCAGGGTTTGGAGGGCCCCTTCCCTAGATCCTACCTCCCAAGGCAGCCAAAGCCTTGGAGGTTCCAGTGAGCCATGATGGTGCCGCTGCCCTCCAGACCACACCCTGTCTCAAAAAAAAAAGATATTCCAATTTTGTGGAATAAAAACCAGCTCACTCACCTAAGATTCAGGAAACTTGAATTCTAGTTCCACTTTGGTGTTCACCCTGGGCCGATACTTTCTCCTCTCCCCATCTCAGTTCCCAAATCCATAAACTAAGAAGTGGGTATGGTACCTTGACGATTTCTAGCTCTAACAGTAATTCGTAGACTAAAACACATCTGAGTCTTCACAGGGTTGTTGCCTGTGCTGAAGTGAGAGGACCCGGGTGGACTCCCTTTGTTTCTGACTTTCTCAGCTGCCTGTGGGTTGGTGCTAACAGGCCAGAAGCTGGGTTTCACAGCGGAGAGTCATATACATCAAAGGCTGTCACCTTGAGCGTGTGCCAGGATCACCTGAGGGCTTATTAAAACATAGACTGTGCAGCTGGGTGCAATGGTGTGTGCTGTCATCCCAGCTACTTGGAGGTTGAGGCAGGAGGATTGCTTAAGTCCAGGAGTTGAGGTCAGCCTGGGCAACATAGTGAGACTCCCATCTCTAAATATATATATATAGGCCAGGCATGGTGGTTCACACCTGTAATCCCA